CCTCCACTCTGGCCAGCATGGCGAACCTGGCTTCAACCTTTTGGAATCAGGGACGATGGAATGAAGCGGAGCAGCTGAACGTGCAGGTCATGGAGACAAGGAAGACAGTGCTGGGTGCTGAGCATCCTGACACTCTGACCAGCATGGCGAACCTTGCCCATACTTGGAAATCTCAGGGGAAGCGTCAGGATTCATTGACCCTAATGGAGAAATGTTTCCAACTACACACCAAAGTGTTAGGGCCTAATCACCCAAACACAAAATCCTGCTCTCATGCTCTCTCGAACTGGAAAAATGAGCACAATCCATCCCAAAGCCAACAGTTCCAACCAGGATCTACTCAAATTGGACGCTCGCCACATCTACAGGGAGTAGTACTGAGCCCTCATATTGCTGTCGCAACAGCTCAGCAACGCTCGTTCACGGGGCTATCTCTTAGAAACCACCCCCTTATTATGGCTTCCAGAACATCCTCGCCCTCTCCTGACAGCCAGGACCTCCACAAAGTGGATTAACTATGATCTGTTGCAGACGCAACTATTATCCCGGGCCGCTCAATATGAAATATAGAGTAGTTTCTGTTTTCTGGTACTCTTTGTAGAGTATCTTGGGATGTGAGGAGAAAGTACCCTACAAATTGTCAACCGTATGTGACCGCTAGTTACATAGGAGACCTTCCTATTCCGGATATCGGAATTGGTAACTACCGATTCCCGAGGATTATGCAGAGTTTTCTGTTATTTCCATGGTTCAAAAGTTATATCTCTTTCAGCTGCCTTTTTAGGCTAGATTGCTTATTATTCTTCATGTATTTAAACCATCGTTTGCAACTAGATTGAAAGAATCAGACCTTCATCATTCGATATTCCTATGGGTAACATTACTAGCAATTACGCCTAGAGTGACGGCCAACACATGTCAACCTACTTCAACGCGCTAATAACGACTAACTCCTCTCCCAACTTCGGGACGACACACAACTTCCAGCCATAGTACGAGGCATATAAGGACAATATTATGTTGATCGGATCCCAGACAAACAGTGGAATAGTCCAAAACCTTAATATAAGCTCTGTTATTCTATGCAACGGACAGGCTACGCTGAACAGACATAGAAACCAGCCGAAGCATTAGGAGACACTACCAATGCAAAATAGTGGGATTAAATCTAAGTTATGCCATGGGTTATACCTCCTCCTCCTAACAAGTCAGCTTATCAGGGAAATAAACGGACCTCTCTACATATCTAACTACTTAGGAAGGGTGGGGTGTTTATGTAGGCTCTACCAAACTTCATGAGACATGGGAATGGGAAGTCTCACTGCGCCTACCCAGAGCCGGTTTTGTTCCTTCGCTGAAGACGCCCTATGACACTGGAATGTACTAATCCCCGGAAACTTCGGTCGTACCCCCTCCTCGCCGTTAAATCTTAGCCTTATCAACGCTAATTCTCCGTCCCCCTTTGAGTACCCCGCCCCTCAAACAAGCGCCTCCCGCACAGATAAACCTCCGCTCCTCTAATACGGGGACTGGGTTGAAGGGAAGGCGTATAATAAAGACCTACTAACCTGTATTCACTATTAGATTGAGTGGAAGGTTAATCTCAACACAAAGACTGTGATTAAAGATACAGAACAAGATCTGGTTCTTGCCCTTGGGCTTTATTGGAGGCTATTCTTCCAACTAATATTAAGAGAGAAGCTATGCCTCAAACATCCACATAGAAAGATTATATTAAACGACACGTCTATTGTGGTGACAGTTCCTCGGCTTAACAAACTTACTCGACAGTTTGATAAGACAGATATTGATTGGCCTAATATTGAGAAACAGCTTCTGGAATGGGGTCATCACTTTCTTGTCGGTAAGAAATTGAAGCTTATGGTATCGTTTAACTATATAGAAGACAGCTAAGGCTCTACAGACAGTCGAAGGGCGACTGATAAACGAGGTACTTCTTCTGCCACCCAGGGGATGCTTCAAGATCCTGATCGGGAGGTCAAAACCGAGGAAGAACTGACTGGAGAACCTGCGGCCTGGAGACATGTCTATATGGTAATTCGCTGCCCCGGTTTGTGTGAGTTAGGGCCGTATTGTTGGCAGGATCCTTACGGGAAGAAATACTATAAACTCTACAGAGACGAGCTTTTGAGCCTGGTTAGATATGTGAAGAGTGGTAAGAGATTAGAGTCCTATGAAGACGTGTCTGGTATAATCCGTGAATAGATCCCGTCTAACCGATCTCGCCTACACGGCGTCCATTCTCCCAATGACGCTGGTCGGATTCTATGCCTCCTATCTCCTCGCCTACCTGGCGCCCACGCTGACCATGCGTCACGTCGGTATCTGGCTCTGGCATATGTTTCCGATCTGGATCTCTCTCGGACAATGTATCCTTGCGCGCACCGTCACGCCCAACACCCTGGCCAGCGATCGTCTACATCGCCCGACGCGCGATCTCCGCACTATTCGCATCACGACGGCTCGTTGACCGTTTTATCAGCCGGTATATATCTCTACTGCGTGACGTCCAGTGGTCTGCGTCTTTGGGACATTTTTGTGCCGACGACGGATAATCTCGATACCTTTGAGGGTACTACGCGGGCGTTCCTTCAGTGAGACCAGATCTATTTTGCGGCTGCCTCTCTTCTGTGGATCACGTTGCTGTTCGCGGAATTGCATCGGATGGAGTATTCGACGGTGCATTGGACTGTGGTATGAGGAGACTTGGGTTGTTTGTCCAGGTTGTGGGAGCTAGTGCAGCAACGGCTGTCGGATGGCTTTGGCGAAAGGAGTTGTTGGTACGATGCAGGCCGTTTCGAGTGAATCCAACGGGATCTAAAGGCGTTAAGTAGCGTGATGTAGAGATTCGGAAGCCTAGGATAATGATACGGGATCAAAAATGACGATATGGCTGGTTGAAATGCCTCAATTCAACCATCTATCTCGAATGGATATAGAAGATGGAGGGGCAGGCGAGGCATACGCTTAGTTGCACTGTCCCAGATGCCTGATTGCCTCGGCGGTGGCTCAGGCACTCACGCTGACATGGAAAGGTATATAGTGACTCATTCATATTAACCCTCGCTCTTCAATCGCCCATTTTTCATGCCTGCTCGCCGATAGATGTAGACCGAGAGCTAGAAAAAGGGTATTCAAGTACTTAGGAAACATCTGAAAGCTAGCCTATATTTTCATGCTCGGTTATATCAGTAGACGCGTGTACTAGCAGGATGGTAGTATTTAGATTGTGAGAGCAACCTGTAGTATACCATTTTAATAACTATGTAAAGCTATCTAACTGTTGGAACAATATTGTCAACCAGACCAGAGAGGTGGAGTATCCTGACCTAATCCACATACCGCACAGCACCTTGCTTGGCCTAGACTTGGCCTACCATTCCAAATGACATACCAATGGATCAGGAATGCATAGGTGTAAACAAGTGGAACTATAATGGCTAGGCAGATTGTAGTTTGGAAATGACACTTCACTTTTACCCACCGAGCATATACCTACATTCCGTTGAATCGATAGGATATCTGCTTAGGGAAATGACCAAGTCAACCGACACTAACGCTTTCCATAAATCTAATGATACAAATGGCATCTGTTCCGTTCCCAAGGGTATGTACTGGCAAATACCTCGAAAAAGATTTCTCCAGTCGGATCGGGAAAAGACAAATGATTTTAGGAGTTGTTTAGTTGTCATTATCGTCGCGGCATATCTTCTCTCTCCAGGTGTCCACATTTCGGTTTTGTGAGAAGAGGTTATGGCTATTCTCATACTTCTTTGCCCCAGTCATCATTTTCTTGGTCCGAGTTAGGATATTTCACTGCCTATAGTGAGAGAATCCATTGAAGGTTGAAAGACATCTGGAGAAGCGTAAAACTTGGGAGGGGGTGTGTCTTGGGGTTTTCGGTTTTGAGAAGAAACCTGTCGCCGGTTTTGATAAGTCCAAACAGTCGTGGGATGGAGTCGAAGTTACGGGAGAGGAGCCAGGCTAGTCAGGGGGACGATTTTGCTTCATCAACAAAAGATCTCAGGGTTGAAAGACCCGATATTTTAAGACACGCCCAGAAGGACGCAGGCACGGCGCGGACCTCGAGAGCAGACGCTAATTCTGCTAAAAGGGCTTTTCTTGCATCAGATCCATGTTGGATTGGATCTTGAACGTGTTCGGTTCCATTTTCATGTTTGGGTACTTTAGGTACTAAGTAAAACCCTTGGAAAACAGATGACCTTTGTATGGTGGAGGAGGGTCTTTGACTCATTATAAAGGTCTGAGGACATCGTTACATAGTTTAAGAACTTTAATGAGTGTTGGGCGGAAGTTGCATCCGAAAGTTCTTTCATGTATTAGTGATGTGACTAATTAATCCAAACATATCTTGGACTAGTCACATTATGCAGGACTATCTGGGGAAGATCTAGATGCCTTCAGTCCGCCAAACCTTCGCTAAAGGCTCTATATAAGAGGAAAATTCCAACAATGAAGGAGAATTCATCATGAAATCGGCCATGAATTGGGTTAAGTTCAAGAGAAATGGGTCTTTTTCTGCATCAATTCAATACAATTTGTCTTGATCTTCGACAGGCTACCCCTGGCACCTCTCATACCTACCAAGTTCAATTATACTGTGCTACATACCCCTGGTTTCTTTGTACCTATCCCGCCAAGTCTTTCCTGACTCAAGTCCTGCGCTCCCTCCCTCCCTCTCTCCCCTGCATCTGACACCACCAACGTCTACTTCCCACAAGCGCAAACATGCTACCTCCTCTATACCAAGTAATTACTGCAGCTACCCTAGGTGTTCTCGCCCACTGGTGCTTCTTTGTCCACGGTGAACATGACTTAGCAGCAGCCAACATTGCCCGTGTCCACTTGGCAGCCGCCGTGATAAGAACATCTTTTGACTCGCAAGGGTCATGGATTGAAGCTTCCAAGCACACCTTCGCTCTTGCAGCAGTATATGCTACAGCGTTGTATTCAAGCATGCTATTCTACCGCATCTTCTTATCTTCACTGAATCATATCGACGGCCCTCTCGTGCTCCGTCTCACCAAATTATCACATGTATGAAAGCAGGCCCGGTACCAGAACTGTGAGTTCCTTCATGAGCTTCACAAGAGATATGGTTACATCGTTCGTACTGGTGCGTATCTTCCAGGGCTATGTAAAGCTGTACGTAATTGGAACCACTAGTGACCGAGTGATGCTACCTTATCAGGCCCGAACGAAGTCACTGCTTTTGACATCGATGCCTTCAACACAGTTCACAGGCAGTCCTCGAGCTGCGGCCGTGCCGCTTACTACGATATCTTGCACCCCATGGTCTCTCTAGTCACGACCCGCGATCCCCAAGTCCACGCCTAGAGGCGCATGGTACGGGACCAGACATTTAGCGTAAAAGGTACCCAGACATAACCCCTCTGTGTGTTCTTTTAACTCCAAACACACTAACCCGTTTACCTACACCCAGCACTCGAAAAGTTGGAATCCTTAATATACTCTAAGGCCGACCTCCTCGTATCTAAACTCCGAGATCAGCATGGAAGCCCAGTGGACATAACCACCTGGCTGGAGTATTACACTTTCGACCTCATGGGCGAATTTAGATTGACTATAAAGGTCAATAACCTTGGGCGCGGCAGCACACATCCGATTCTTACTCTGTTTCATCTTGGGATTCATCTGGCGGGGAAATTTATACCGGAAGGCACGACGATCACGGTCCCGCAGTATAGTTTGTTCAGAGGTACGTTACGCTCACCATGGATCCATTGAAACTCCGTGCTTTATTCACCAATATATGCCAATAGATGAGCGGAACTTTGTCCGCCCCCACAATGGATCCCCGAGCGCTTCAGTACTCAGCCGGGGCTCATCTTGAATCAATAGGCGTTTTCGCCGTGGAGTATTGGTATACCGACCTAGCTTACATTCTGACTCTCCTCAACTATACATACGTCCAAAGTACTAATCCGATCGTAACAGGAAAATACGCCTGCATTGGCAAGAACCTAAGTCTAATGGAGATGTGGGTTGCGGCGGCCTTGATCCTCACGACGTTCGAGTATGAGTTTGCCCCTGGAGAAGGTGGGACAAGAATGTTTAGTGAGGCGGTGGATTATTTCACGACTACGCCGGGGCCGCTCTTTCTTGTTTTGAACCCGATCCGAACGTGGACTATGATGACGACATTGCTACATACGTTAATAACGTTGTTAGCGATATTGTGAGGGCGGAGGGGAGGTGGGCTTAAGTTGATCCATGATAGTCGAGCTAAGCTATGTAAGTATCTACACCAATGTGATTCTTCTCATGGGCTGTCATTGAGTTGAGAACGCTAGCTATTGAGGCTCACCTCCCTCAGGTATCTACTCTACTATACTCTGCTGAGCAGCGGGATTTATGGATGATTGCTATCTTACCTACCTTTTGGCCGTTCTGTCTACTGCTCATTGTTCTAAATCGAATCCATTATCTTTTTTCCTTAGTCCTTGAGGTCACGTTATCTAGATATAATGTAAAGCGGAGTTTTGACTCAAGTAGTCGACAAAATGTTGGAAGACCTTGGATTGAATTTAAACGGGGATAAGTCACCACTATTCAGCAAGCGGTTATAGCTCACAATCTGGAGCTGAATCGTTCAAAAAGCAAAATAAAAAAGAGATCAGACACAATTCCATCCCTCGGAGAAAGCGACCGTCCCTTGAACTTTGCCTGAAAGAAACTAAAAAGAAATTAAAAAGAAAAACAACCCCTTGGAAATCCTAGTATCCTGAGAAGGCAATTGGAACAGCAAAACTGAAACTAAGCCCCTAGTTTCCATCATGACGTTTGTCTTAGTCTTTTTAATGCCATTCTATGCTTTGCGGTGAAGGGCGATTGCCGCCGGACAATCGACTTCGGACTCGCTATAGACCCAGAATATCTTGCGGATTTCACATAATTTGATGTGAAAGTATCTATAAGACAGTTTTCGAGTAATCTTTCGACAGCTGCCTTAACTTCCAATTCAGTGTATCCAGCAGATATCATAGCAGCAGCCAAATATTATGAAGGTTTGTGGTAGTATACACCGCGGGTCCCATCACTTGACACAACGATAGAGACGAGATTGAGCAATTATTTCAGCAAAATGATCGTAGAATTCAATATCATAATTCTTTGCCGTTTGCTCAGGTATCCATTTTCGATAGGAGGAAGACGATGAAGGCCAAGAAATTTGCAATGTTGATTTGCCTGTTCATTCACCTGTAGCCCGTGGATCAGGTGTTTGCGAAGAAAAACATTCTCTTTATGATTCAATAAATGAATATAGAATTCTCGGATCGTTTGCACAAGCAGTCCATGCTCTTGGGTGTATCTAGGGTTTGATCTGGAAAATAGTCTTATCAGATACTCCATTGATCCCATTGAAAGAAATCCGCGTAAAGTAGACCCGTATCCTCCTGTTGCTTCTGGAAAGTCTTCATGTAGTATGTCAGGATGGCGCGTTTCCTATATTACAATGTCTGGATGCTTACCATCCACAAATTGTGCATCGAACTTTTTCTATCGCGTTTCGGGTGCGGGTCTGAGGCGGGTAGAGTCTTCAATTTGTCATAATTGGCTTTGTCATCGTGAAGACAATAACTAATTATTCAGTTCGGCGCCAGAACTTTTCCTGGATCTCATTGTCGGAAAAAAAATAGGGGAGGATCCGTAACCATCATCGGTGCTTGAAGGTATGCAAAGGCGGTACAACTCGTTCACCAGCGAGTTGACCACCTGGCGGTACTGCCTCGATGTGTCCTGGTCGGCGGACTTGGGTAGTTCGGCTGGCTCCTGGAGTAAATCGGAAATGGCTGTTGGGGTAAAGAGGCCCTCTGCGTGGCGCTGTGAATGTGACCACACAAGGTCAAAACTCTCTTGGTCACTCTCAACGGCCGCCAGATCAACGGTTTCAATTCCGTTCCTGCAAATTCAACTCTTTCAACCCAGTGTCCGGTGTAGCAGGAAGTCATGTACATGGTGCATCTCACGGAAGGATGCTTTGATAGCACGGGTACAATGTGACTTGGCTTTAAAAGGTCCTCTGGTTCCAGCTGCATGCCAAATTAAACCCCGAGACCGAGGCCATTATGTGTTTCATAACCGCCGAGAGCGAAAATCATTATCAGAACAGTATCTCCACATCTGGCAGCTTCGGCAACAGTCGCCTCCAATCTTTCAAGTAAAGACTCGCGTAAATCCCGTCCAGTAGGTCCTTGAGTGATCTTATCCCCTAGATATGCAGCGCTGTCTTCGTCAAGAACCACCTTGCAGTCCTCGAATGGATCGCCGTGCACGAACCCAGAGGCCCATTTTGTCTGGACTTGTTTTGTCTCTTCAGTCTCCTCGATGCGTACCATCGTGACCTTGTCCTCTCGTCCGTATTTGTTGATCAGATAATCCGGGCTCATCGCTGTAATCCACTCCTGACTCTTCCCCATGCCGCAGAGAACATTCAACCAGAGATAGAAGTCCGATACCATCCATCCATCACCTAGAGAAGGACAAGCTGCCTGTGACAACTCATCTGGCTCGTCGAGTCCAAGTATAGAAATCACTCGTGTGTTTGGCGTGACATCCGGAGGGTTTCTTGTATCCCTAGTGGGTATTATGATTTCGGATTGGAGCGCCTCTTTGTAGCGATTTGCGCGAAGCTGACAGGCTTCCCGTGCCTTTTGTCCGTTTCGTTGTTTCGTTGAAGCTCGGCCTTAGCCTCTGCATAATCGATATGGGACTTTTTCCTAAGCTCTTGAGCTAGATAATGAGTCTGAGCATCATAGTAGACGTTCTTCCTTTCGTGCATGGTGGCAATTTTGACACTGCCACTTTTTTGAACGATGAGAAGTAAGATGGAGAAGAGTGAGATAAGGCAAGGTAGAGTAAGAGGCGAGTAGGATAAGATGAGGGTAGAATAAAAGAAACAATAACTTATTTGATGAATAAAAGAGAAAAGAAGTATGATATGAAGAGTAAGTTTTAAAATTTAGTAAGGAGTCACCAGAGTACAAGGTAACTTTAAAGTATGAGTCAGATGTCCAGTTCCAGTGGAAGCCACTTAAAAGAAGAACATGTAGGCTCTTTCATAATTAGAGAAGGCGAAACATACACATAAAGAGAAAAGGTTCAAGCGGAGAAGAGTGAAGAAGATTGTCTTATCTATCGAGTTATAATAGTGAAGTCATCACCAACCCCAGGGTGAATACCAATTGGGTATCTTGTATTAACTATAGCCCTACGGCAAAGCGAGGTGAAGTTCTTCAAACATCAGAACCAGCTTCTCCAGAGCGGCAACCTGATCGGAAAGCTGGTTCAGAACATAAATCACATAGGATCAAACTCCAAGATGCGCAAAAAGCATTTCCTTATGTTCCGGGCCATTTGGCCACGGATGATGGAGTTATGGGAGTTTCAACCGGAAGTACATCCATTCCTAGGTACAGGTAGTAGAGCTTTTGAGACATTCAAGAGAGTTCAACTTTTACCTGCGCGTGACTGTTGGCCGTATGCAGATCGAATAAGAAAAAGAAAACCTGGAGGAGATTTCCCCAGACTGGAGGGCATTCGTGTTGGAATTCCAGGAGCAGTGAGTGTCTGCAGGTCGAAGGTAAGCTACTATTCCATTCTTCAAGGCTATCTTGAAACCAATGTTCCACCTTATATATAAGGGATTGAGAAGAGCTGTGTTTGCTAACATCTGTACCATACAAATAGTCAGACTTATGGCAATTCAAAAAAGTTGTCTTTGGCGCCCTGACCGATGGGGCTCTTCTGAGCCGACTAAGAAATTTCGTTCTGGGGATCTTCGAAGTGAAAAAGACCACAAGGATTCTGCCACAGTAAATCGACCAGCAGATGAAGGAGTCGGCAGAGATAGTCGTCAAGATCCTCAATTGCAACGGCGGAAAGAACTCTTTTGGAAATATGAGAGTCTATACTGTTTGTAAGGGGAAATTTTACGGCGACTTCGTTTTACGGATACAGAGCTCAGAACCAACGCGGGATGGGATTATGAGAAGAGATACAAAAAGGCAGAAGGCCGATTTGCCGCTCTAACCACTGGGAAGAAGCAACTTGGACAGTCTAATCAAGACCTTCGAATCGCGCGAGGTGCTTTGCGTCGAAAAGGCACCTCCTCATCTCCCAGGGTGGCCCTGCGGTCTATATCACTTTCGCAGAAGCGGGGCCCCAATACGACGATTATTTGCATCAAAGGGATGGCGTAGCGATTGTAGATCTAAAGGCTTTTCTGGTGATGGAGAGTTACGCGCATTGTGTGCTGCCATCGTGGTACATCAACTGGATATTTAATTTCGAACTATGTAGAGAATACCTACAGTTCTCTCATGTCAAGCCCAATAAAAGAGGACCATGGTGGAAGGCTCCACTGACTAACAGCCTGGATCTGATCTAAAAATAACCACTTGACTGTTGGGGCCACGCCGAGATCAGACATCTACATGCCCTTGATATTCATACAACGGCTCCAGCTGTTCGTCGATGCTTGGCACTACGCAACTCTCTCCCGTTTGTCCAAAGTCCTCCACCATCGCTGACTTATTGTCGTAGTGGATGTGCACCGCTTGAACTGTGCGTTGACTGGGATTCAGCGGGAAGTAGTTGACCGGCACAAAGCGTACGCTGGAGTGTGAGGATACCACAGTATTGGGCAAGTCCGCCGTGTTCGGGATATGGTGCATCCCCAGATTCACCCACACGACCAAATCAGTCTGATTGAGATTCTCGTTGTCAAAGAAGTCTTCGAAGTTGATGGGCGGATCATGAACGTCCTGGTTGTTGAGTGGATGAGCCGAACGCGGCTCCCAGTCATGTTGCCGGGTGATTTGGACATCGTACTCGGCCCAGTGTGCCGCGTTCGCCAGGTTGCTCGAGTTTAGCACCGTGAGATGCGCCGTATGTCCGGGCAGAATCTGGTAGCCACGGAATTCCCCATAACGGTTGGGCGCGTCTTGGTTGACGATGTGAAGTTGCTTGGCGCCATTGGGCTGCCAATTCAATCGGCCCTCATCCTCACGGGTAATCAGGGACCGCTGCAGCATCATGGTGTTGCGCGGCCGCTTGGACCAGACATAGGATTTGGAAACAGGCACAACCGACGTCAGCTGCACCGAATTAGCGGAATCGACCACGTCGAAGTCGGCTTTGAAGTTAAAGACATGGTCATGCATCGACCCGGACAGTGCGTCGTGAATTTGATAGCCGTAGTCATCGTTGTGTGCGTAGAACGCCCCTATGATATAACCGGAAAAGTGCACGTCGATGCCGATGGAGCCGTCCAGATGAAATGTATAGCTAAAGGTGTAATCATAATTGCCGACCGTCGCCACCGACCGCAGCGTGAAGTAGACGTTGCGGGTGGCACCCGCGTATCCGGTGTCGGTATGGCGCTGGAGTGGGTGGTCAGCGTTATATTCGAACAGACACAAGCTATCAATATGAGCATGCGTCGTCTCGTTCACGTAGAACGAAGAGTTGAGATAAGTGGCGTAGGAGGGACAGTCGAAACCCTTGATCAGTGTGAACGTGTCCGGTCCAAATCCGAAGAAGGAGTCCAGGAATGCCATGCCCGACTGTACCGGATCCTCGCCTGCGTAATGGGCCAATGCTTCCTGTAGGCCCAGCTCATATAAAATACGCTGACCTTGGTATTGGATGTCGAATAGAGAAACCCCGGTGTGGCGCGAGAAACCGATGTAGAAGGCGAAGTCCATCCACGTAACATACTGTTTCTCTATATCCACCGAGAAGCGATTGCCTCCCGGAGCCACCGACACGGGGGGCTCTTTCTCGTCCTGTGGAAGTGTCTCGCCGTGCTGGCCGGTGCGAGCCCAGTCGCCCTCAACGTTGGCGCCCAGCTTTTCGAAGCCAGGAGAATAATAGGCCGCACGAAAAGACTCGGTTGTGTTGTAGAAGATGTCGTTGTATAACCAGCCCTCTAATTCCCACTGTGAAGGATCGCGACCGGTCACGTCGGACTTGAAGGAAAGCCCCAGCGGCAGAAGAGTCCTCGCATCGAATTCGTCCGTCGGGTGATTCCAGAAAGTATCCCAGCGCACGACACGGTCATCGTCCTGCCACATGGGGTCAAACCCGGCGATTTCCAGGGTATCATTTTCCAGGCCCAACGCGGTGCCATTCCATAGATCCAGCGTGATATCCACAATGCTAGCGCTAATATTGTACATCCAGTCTCCCAGGGTTCCAACGTCGGCGTACAGGTTGCGAACCTTTCCATTCGACTTACGTGTCCAGCCAAGCCCCATTGGCGCCCATTGCGTTACATTCTGCTTGACCGGCAGCGGACCGACTTGAATTTCGGCGTAGTGTGCATCGACAGTGGCACGGTTGTTCAAGGTGACACGGGCAAACCGTAGGGGTGTGGTGCCGTTGTTGTCGAGATAAGGCACGACGTCGCTCTTGTTCGGGCGCAAAAGCTCGACTAGATCACTATTGCTGGTCAGTAAACATCCATCGGCAGGTAGAGCCCGTTCTCACATGGAGTTATCCCAGGGTCCAGCACCCTTCCCAGTTAGGTTCAACTCGGGCTGCTGATGTAGCCATTCCACCACGGAAGCGATTTCCTCGGGTGCTAGGTCCTGCCAGACATTGGCTTTGGGGGCGGAGATCTCTTGTACAGCATGTTGGGGGCACCGTGGAGCACTCAAAGGGGGGCTCCAAGGGGGGCTCCAAGGGGGGTTGCTGTTCTTCTGGCGAGGGCGAAAGAGGCCTGGCGGTGCCCAACCCACTGAACCTTCTTGCTCAGCCTGAGCACGGACGGTGCAGACGCCCCAGAAGAGTAGGACACAAAGCAGAACGAGACGCATGATTGGCATTCGGCCTGTTTTCTCGCGGAGAGAACGTTGTGTTAACGATGCTTGGGGTTGTCGGACGTTTAGAAATGACCCAGGGAGGGCCTCCGACAGAATCCATCATATTAATTGAGAAAGAAGCCACCTTCCCCATCGAGCACAGTCTGAGGGCAAGAGGAGAGAGAGGGTATGCTCCATTTGGCAGGTGCAACCTCGAGACACAACGTGTTTGCAATGTCAGTAGCATCTCGGAGACCGGGAGTTGAGCCTTGTTCCTTGGGGTATAGAGAGTGGTCAGCTAGATACCATTTCCCTCAGCACCAGGCATGATCTTTGGGTGCTTCCAGTGCATTCTGATGTGCACGTTAGTATAAGGCAGCAGCGCCCAGACACCTAGACACCAAGGCATCCAGATGAGTAATCAGTACCATCTTTAGTTAACACGTGACCACGTGTTAACTTTGGCGACCGACTCGCGACTCGCGACGCTGGCAACTTCCCCGATCAACAGCCTTCAGTGCCATGAATTCCCATGGTGCATCACCCCAATCCTGTCAGTCAAGTGACGATTCGGAATTCCCGGGAAAGGCCGGGATTATGCACGGTGAACAGTATACTCCGATATCAACAACAACCAAGGACCAAAGTACGACGGCTCCACTTCCCCACGGTCGCGCCAGGAAGAGAATCGTGAATGGGTCTGCAGCAAACGGATCGAACTCAATTCAGCAGGGGGGAAATGGGTGTTTCGGATGTCCCTAGCTAGGCACAGGAATCCAGGCCGGGCGAGACGGAAACCGCCAGGAGAGTCGAGCGATGTATCCATGTTCATTCTCCTTGATCGGCCAGGCGGTGGACCCTCTCTCCCGCTGATTGGAACGCAATTTTGTTTTTCTTTCTCTCTCTCTCTCTCTCTTCCACCTCCCCCCTCCCCCCGATGAGCATCCAGCATGCTGTCTAAATCCCCCATCATGGGCTCGTCATTAGATGATCTAGTCGCTCGTTTCCAACGCTATGCTAGTCTGGATGCTGAGCGAGCGGATCTAATTAATGTGAGTGGTGCCGCAAGACCTGTCGCTCTTTGTTTCTGTCCTGTTCTGTTCTCTTTTGGGCACTCGACGGTCGGCCGGACTGATGAACTCGCTGTAGAGTCTCCTAGAGAGAACCCGCGAATATGAAGCCCAGTCGGAAACTCTTCAAATTGAGTTGGAACACGAACGAGAGTCTCGCACTCGCTATCAGCTTGACCTTCGTAAACTACGGGACGAGAAGAAGATGTTAGAGTATGCGATTGTATGTCTCCCCTACTGGCGCCTCCCCTCTCGGCTTGAAGGGGACTGAATGGTTGACAGCCCCCTAGAATAAAGAACCCTATGTGGTCGTCTTGGTGGATGGGGATGGAGCCATTTTCCACGATGATTTGCTGCGCGATCCGCAAAAGGGAGCCCCTGAAGCCGCCCTCCGCCTGCGGCAGGCTGTGCGAAGCCATCTCAAAGACACGCCCTTAGGAACGGAGCAGATCCCTGTTATAGTCCGCATCTTTGTTAATCTGAATGGCCTTGCCAAATCTCTATGCATGGCCAAGGTGATCGAACAGGAAGCCCATATGCGACTCTTTGCCGAACTTTTTACTAACAGCCGGGCGGAGTTCGACTTTGTCAACGTCGGCCATGGCAAGGAGAATGCCGATTCTAAGATGCGTAGTCAGTTGGCCTGGATCTAGACCTTCCTGCTCTGCTTTATTTGGCTAACCTCGACGTCTAGAAATGCTTTCCCACTACTACAATAATTTCCAATGCAAGAAGATCTTCTTTGCAGGCTGCCACGACAACGGCTATCTCCATGAACTGCGGGAGCACGAGGATGACTACGAGGCTAAAGAACGCATCATTCTGCTAGAAACTACTCCGGCCCAGCCGTCTTTTAAGTCCCTAGATTTCACCATGACTCGCTTTGACTCCGTCTTTCGGGCCGAGCCGTTGCGCGCGGAGCCCGGACGCATTCTGTCCCCAACAACTTTGAAGCCTGTGGCAGCTCTCGCGTCGCCCCCAGTTGAGCAACCATCAACGGTTCCTGCTCCCGTTCCTCGTAACCCCTCGCCCGTTACTGCCAGACCACTCCTATCCCCGGATCAAGAATCGATAGCGAGTTCTGGCAATGGCGGCTACTCCATCAAGTATCCGGCCGGCACGTCGTCCACTTACGCGTCTGCCGGGGGCGCCAACGGTCATCAGAATGTCTCGATCGCACCGGCCAAGACTAAACCTGCCAAGGTCATCGAATACAACATTGAGGGACTGCGGATCGACCCGCCTAACAAGTATCCCAACAATCCCTCCGACCAGGCCTCCTACCGGGAGAAAGTGGAGCGAATCAAGCCCAAGGCGTTCTGCAACCAGCTCTACCTCGTGGGCCGCTGCGACCGCAAAACCACCTGTCCGATGGAACATACAGTCAAGCTCACCCCCGGGGAAGTCGCCGTCCACCGATACAAGGCTCGCACGACGATGTGTGCCCACGGCCCGGAATGCGATAACTATAACTGTTATTTAAGTCACCACTGCCCGCACGGTCTAAATTGCTCGCGTGGCGGAGAATGCAAGTTTAATGGAACTGATTACGGCGATTTACATTACACCAAGGATGACATGGTGCCCCAGTAAGTCTGCGCGGTCGGATTTCTTTGATGTGATACTGATTTTTGAGTAGTACTCGATGGACCGAGGGCATTGATTTCCCCGTTCGCCTTTATTAAGAATATATGGACAGTCAGGTACACACGGTCTCTACAATTTTTCTGGGCATTTTTCTACATGATGTCTCTATTTTGGTCTTTGTTTCTTTCTATTTTTGTCCATTACATGCGCACATAAGATTGTCTCATATTGTGAAATGAACATCAGTTACTAGTTTTCTACAGAACCTACTGGATAAGAGCCAGCTAATGAAGCGCTATTATCTAACAGGGCAACTCCTTGCTCTTTTGTCTACCGACGAAGCCTGAAATCAGCACTAGGCTCCACCTGCAATCATACTCCGTACCTACTCTGTCGATCATTTGTCCGTGCCTGATCGTCCAACAACCAGTAAACACCATAAAACAGACCTGCTGAAGCCTCAACATTTATAAAATATATCTCTCCCTCTCACTTGCGCAATCAAACCACGAAATCATATTTCGCTCTTTCAAATCAAATGACACTCTTATCCGCTCTCGGCCCGCGCGATCGTCTATCGCTTGCACGACCTGCATCCCCGACACAGACTAAACGCCCAAGTGTGAGGGGTAAGAAACTTAGTAGCCCTCCCTGTGGACCGTGCGAAGCAATCATGATTCAAGCGTCTGTATGTGAATGACTCAACCGGGACCTTTCTTGTCACTGTGATAGGTGGGAAGAGCGTCAAATGATTCGTGCTTGTTCAAAGGGATCTGCTGGTGGCAGGTCTGGGCGTACACTGTGCGCTTGGGTGAGATACTTGAGATGTGAGTTCTGCAGGGAAACAGGGTGGCGAGAAGAGGGGAGGAGGAAGAAGTACTCCGCACGGTGTGGTATATATGATCGGTCGCTTCTTGTCCGGTGGTTTCTAGGGAATAACTTTTCCTGTGTTTGTCTCTTTCTCTCTCCCCTTGTCCCCCTTTATTTTTTCGGTTTTTTCACAATCATTCTTCCTCTACCTTCCTGTCTCCTGTCCTACTGTTACTAACACTCCACCTCCATGCCTCAAGAACAACACGTCGATGCCCTCGTCGTGGGCACCGGATTCGGCGGCATCTACGCCCTCTACTCCCTCCTGCAACTCGGGTTAAATGTCAAAGCCATTGACAAGGCCGCCGACGTCGGGGGCACCTGGTGGTGGAACAAATACCCCGGCGCCATGAGCGACACCTGGAGCCACATGTACCGATACACCTTCGACACTAAGCTCCTGCAGACCTACCCCTGGCCGCGCTGGTACGTCACCCAGCCCGAGATCCTCGAGTACCTGCGACACGTCGTGCAGCGGCACAACCTGCGACCGCATATGCAGCTCAGCACCGAGATGACGAGCGCTGTATGGGATGACGCCGCCGGTCGCTGGACGGTGCGCTGTCGCTCCGGAGACGTCTTCTACACCCGATACCTCATCTCCGCGCTGGGCATCCTGCACTCGGCCTACGTTCCGGAAGTCCCCGGTATAGGGGCCTTCCGTGGCGAGACCCTGCATACGGGCGCCTGGAGACCTGAGGTGGACTTGACGGGCAAGCGCGTCGGCGTCGTGGGCGTCGGATCATCCGGCACACAGGTCGTCACGGCCATCGCTCCCCATGTCCAATCGCTACACGTCTTCATCCGACGTCCCCAGTACAGCGTGCCCAGCGGCAACCGCCCAGTAACGACAGAAGACCGCCGGGCCATCAACGCGCGATATTCCCAGATCATACGGGACGCGAAAGGCTCGTTCACAGCGATGGGGTTCACCGAGCCAGCGCGGGCCCTGATGTCGCTGCCCCCCGCGGAGCGGACGCAGCTGCTCGAAGACCTCTGGCAGGACGGCAACGGGCTGCGATTCATGTTCGGGGGTTTCTCGGACGTGATCATCGACGAGGCTGCGAACGAGGAAGTCTGCCGGTTCATTCGCGGCAAGATCGCCTCCATCGTGAAAGACCCCGCCAAGCGGGCCGCGCTGATGCCGACGGATCTTTTCGCCCGACGACCTCTCTGCGACGACGGCTTCTATGACACGTTCAACCGTGACAATGTCTTCGCGGTTAACCTGCGCGAACACCCGATCGAGGCGATCACGCCGCGCGGACTGCGCACAGCCGATGGCACCGAGCACGAGCTAGACGTGCTGATCTTCGCGACAGGCTTCGACGCGTATGACGGTAGCTACCGGTCAGTGGATATTCGCGGACGAGACGGGAAGCGATTGCGCGACAAGTGGGCGCACGGCGCTATCAGTTACCTAGGGCATGGAGTCAACGGGTTCCCGAACCTGGTCATGATCAACGGACCGAACGGGGGTTTCGTGAATGTCAGCGCGCTGTCCGAGACGAACGGCCAGTTCATGACGGACCAGGTGCGTCATGCTGAGGAGGAGTCAAAGCGAACCGGTCGACGCTGCGTGATCGAGCCCACCGAGAAGGCCGAACGAGCGTGGACGGAGGCCTGTCGGACGGGTGCCGACGCGACCCTCCTCGTTAAGGTGCCGCAGTGGTTGACGAACTCGAATATTCCTGGTAAACCGACGACTGTGCCGTTCTTCTTTGGTGGGCTGGGCAGGCTGCGAGGCATCATGACCGAGGTCAAGGAGAAAGGGTTCGAGGGGTATAAGGCGCCATTTGGAACTGGCGAGGAGCCAGAGGCGCGTTTGTAGTTCATCGAGGTGATTTATTCCTGTGAGTCAGTCTTGTTTAATAGCATTTATTCGTTTAGCAGAGAATGAAACTCCCGTGATCGAGGATACCGGTTTTCTTCGCGAGGAAGAAACGACTCCTACTCATCACTGTCCGCTAAGACCTGCTAGGAAACTAGTTTCCTAAGCCCCCTCTCGGATGTATATATTCAGCGCTGTACGAGTATGTTGTTGACATATCAAGTACTACAAGGACTGAACCATTAGTTAGCCTGGCCTTTTGGTTTAGTTAGAAGTCCGAACGATTGCCAACATTATACTCATATCGGTACCTAGATTCTCTACATATGTTTCTTGCGGTTCGCAGTGACATCCTGTCATATTCTGCAATGGGTGAGGTGATAAGACCAATCGAAGCTTTTGAACCTTCTAATGAGCATGAAAAAGATGAGATTGTCCCATTCTAGAGAGAGCATTCACCTATTCCATAGTTTCCCACAGATCGAGTGACACACCACACGAGCACGCGATGCGGAATCAGTAGAAGTAATACTTCCCCGCGCCACAAAACCAGAACTATAAAGCACGGACAGACCTCAAAGAACAAACTTTAAAGGGATCAAGACACACAAGACCCTGATGCAACGCTGACATGGTTCGTGACATGGACCCTGAATCCAAGATAATGAAAGGAGAACGAAAAGCGCCAAGTCAGCCCTACGATGATCTTTACTGCGAATGGACAGTCTTGACGTCGTGGTGGGCATTTTGGACGTTGAACAAGCCATATTTGGAATTGATCTTCTAGACGATAAAGAGTCATTGGTTCAGATTGGAATGAGTTATGTAAAAGAAATATCTTGTTATGCTGGGCCGTGTGTGGGAGCATTAGGTCGTGAATGTTATTACTACGGAAGTGCGATTCCGCCGGTAGCGCTGGCGCTTTACACAAGATTCTTCCTTGCTAAATGACACCCATCATATAGAACAAGGGTCTCTCAAAGAAACTCAAACTCGCGTAAAAGGAAGGGAGTCTGTTTCAGAAGCTAGAGAATATCTCGGAACCAGAAATCGCTCAGCCTTTCATGGCGAAGACTCAGTCAAAGCCGATGACGGCGTGTAGAGCATCCCAAGAGATAAGCTTGACAGCATTAATATGTAGGACATCACTGCGTAACGAGACCAAATCCTCCCGATCGTATGATCAATCATACTTCATCCGATTATTGAAGTAAGCCCGAGGTAATCGGCGCGACCAGGAAGTTGAAGAAGCATCTTTCCAATCCGAATTCTGGCGAGTACGAATCTGTGCCTCAACAGTTGACCGAAATGGCAAGTCACCCAGGCTCTTGGATGAGACAGGAAGTGGAAACGAGTCTAGCTGCTAGTATAAGCGCTTCCAATGCCCAATGAGAGTCTACGCTTGCTATCATGCCAATAGCACTAGCAGCATTCGGAGTACCAAGACACGGGGGAGAGGAGATGAGATGAAATGAGATCTTCTCCGTGGAGTGTTAGTTCGGACACTGCTACCGCATCAGGATGCCGAGCCAATATCGGGATCCCCAGGGAGGAATGATTCGGAAACTTGATTCCAGATAGCAAAGAGAGCAGATAAATTTGGGATTCTTCTTCAGTCAACGTAGCCGAGACGGCAACACCTCCCTTCTGCTTGATTGGTGGTGGTGCTCTAGCGGCCCAGGTCAGACAGGGATGGCGATGACTAGTTAGGGCTACTATACCGACTTCATCTCCCCACGGAATGGAGACAGGAGAGACCTGCAGCCGACGAACGGGCATCCCGTGTGCCCCGTAGGACATCTCCATGAGACCACCCCAGTCTAGACTGACCGACAAGACCCCAGAGCCCCTCAGTGACTCGAAAGGACCGAGACTAAACGAGAAAAGCACCTCCGATATCTGGTTCCTTCGGTGCAAACCCACAATAAGTTGAAAATCGCTCATAATCAGCAAACAAGAACAGCTTCGGAGAGGTCTTGTCAATCTCAATCTCCTCTTTGTCGCTTTGTGCGACGCTGGTCCTTCCGATCCTCTCCGAGAATCAGGATCAAGCCTTGCAATGCCTACCAGACAAGCGTCTCCAAGACATCACAACCCCCTCCAAGGCGGCTCTGCCAAGCGACGCCACGCGGTCTGCGGCGTGCGAGACGTGCGAGGCCAGCAGTCGAAGCAGGCCAACTTTCCTCTCCTCCGACTCCGGGGTCTAATATGATACCAGCGGTGGGATTGGCTGCGGGGATAGGGATCGGCATGTCTGGGGGAATCCTGGGGTTGAAAATTTCCTATGAATGGGGCGCCCCGTATTCGGGCCATGCCCGTAGATCAGAAGGCCCGGGAGATGCCCATTCTCACATCATGGCATCATGGGAGTTCTTGTCGACTTGCATGGGAGAGAAATGAGAATGCGCCCATGTCTGGCCTCACCGCAGCCCCCCTAGTTCCCATTTCTTTTCACCAAAACATTGCCGGCAAAATGACAACTTCGTCAAATCTGGATGACTTGATTCCCTCGGCTCTAATTGCAAAAATTCGGGAACTTGCCGGTAGGGGGCTTGAATTTTTTTCTCCCTGTCCAACAGCCGGTTGCCAACTCTGCGAGTCAGAAACGAGGAGGGAAAAGCACCCCACCCTCCAGGATGGAATTGGCTGGTTAGCGCTGTCTGGGCAAAGACTCTCCAGAGCCAGAGATACGACGTCAAACGGCAACCCGGAGTCGCGTGCTGGTGGTGCTGACAGCCACGCCCATGCTTAGGTGCTTGGCGACATCTTGGCTCCACCAGATTGGAAGCTTCTCGCGGGGATTCTCGGCGCGCGACCTAGCGGGACTAGACGTGGAGACTAGGGATCGATATCACAGCGTCATGCGGGGGGTCGCGCATTGAATCCCCGTGGGGAAAGCATACCTGAAAGATACAGGATGAGGTAAATTTGGGTCGAGAACTCGAGGTGGGATGGTGGGGGTTTGCGTTGCAATTTGGACGGTATAAAAGGCCTGGCTAGGATTCGCACGTCGTACAGAATTTCGATTCCCTCGACTAGACACACTTCCTTTTCTTCTTTCTCGTTTCGCTCCTCTTCTCCCTCGCGTTGTTTCTTCTGTTCGCTCGTGTCGTGCTGGTCGAAGATGGCTACCAACGAGCCTGCCGATCCCATCCCCAAAGGTATCTGGGCCACCACCAAGCAGGCCTGGAATGACCTCTTCATTTGGAAGCAGCGCGTGGAAGTTACCAACGAGTATGGCGAGACACGCACCGAATGGCAGGCCCCCGAGCCTCTGAAGAACCCCATTAGCCTGTTCATGCAGCTGAGCGCGCGCGATTGGTTGTTCTTCGTCGTCGGTTTCACGGCCTGGACGGCCGACGCATTTGATTTCCATGCACTGTCCATCCAGACCGTCAAGCTGTCCAAGTACTATGATCGCTCCAAGACCGACATCACCACGGCCATTACTCTCACCCTGTTGCTTCGCAGTGTCGGTGCCGCGGCTTTCGGTCTGGCTGGTGACAGGTTCGGTCGCAAATGGCCCATGGTCGTCAACATGATCGTGCTGGGCGTGCTGCAGATCGCCACGATCTACAGCAAAACATTCCAGCAGTTCCTGGCGGTGCGCAGTCTGTTCGGTCTGTTCATGGGAGGTGTATATGGTAACGCTATTGCCATGGCTCTGGAGCATTGCCCGTGAGTGTCGCCAGACATACCTGCCATTGTTCTTGTTCATGCTAATGATGGTCAGGGTTAACGCTCGCGGGTTGATGTCGGGCATCTTGCAGCAAGGATACTCGCTGGGATATGTGATTGCAGCCTGTGCGAATCTCGGAGTGGGCGGCGGAACGGACACCTGGAAGACGGTCTTCTGGATCGCAGGTATGTCAACTGTCTATGACACGAATATAACAAGCTCGGCACGCTGACCCCCATTTCCAATATAGCCGGCATTTCCATCGGCGTCGGTCTCATTCGCATTCTCTTCCCCGAATCCAAACAATTCATAGAGGCCAAAAAGGCGGGCAAACAGTCGAAAGACGCCAAGGCATTCTGGCAGGAAACGAAGCACATGCTGGGCCAGGAATGGAAGATGTGCATCTACTGCGTCATCTTGATGACCTGGTTCAACTACTACTCGCACACGTCGCAGGACTCGTACACGACCTTCATGCTGACGCAGAAGGGGCTGGACAATCCGCAAGCGTCGCGCGCCTCGATCCTGATGAAGACGGGCGCCTGCGTAGGCGGAACCATCATGGGCTACCTCTCGCAGTTCTTCGGTCGTCGGCGCACCATCATCGTCGCGGCCTTCCTGTCGGGAGTGCTGATCCCCGCGTGGATCCTGCCCAACACCGAGCGATCGCTCAGCGCGACGGGCTTCTTCATTCAGTTCTTCGTCCAGGGCGCATGGGGTGTCATTCCCATCCACCTGAACGAGCTGTCTCCGCCGGCGTTCCGTTCTTCATTCCCCGGTATCACCTACCAATTGGGCAACATGATCTCCTCGCCGTCAGCACAGATCGTGAACGCCATCGCTGAGAAGACATTCGTGAAAGGCCCCGGAGGCGAGCCGGCTCCTGCTTACGGGCCCACCATGGGCGTCGCGACTGCCATCATCGCCACCGGCATCATGGTCACCACGGCCTTTGGACCGGAGAAGCGCGGTCGACGATTCGAAACAGCTGTGGCAGGCGTGGAATCGAGCCCCGTTGTAGAGCAGAAGATCAAGGACATCGAGGCGGGATACGAGATGGAACACAAGACGACGGAAGAGCGCGTGGAGCGAGCCGACAAGATCTAGATTAACATAACAGTAAACTCAAGGACCAAAGAAACGACGAGAATAAATTGAGGAAGCGATGAGAGATGATATGATAAGACCACTTGGAAACATGTTCTACTTTAATATCCGGCCTTGTGACAAGCGCAATGTACTTAGTGTTTAGGAATATTAGGCAATGACCATGGGATATAAAGACATCACAGCTCATTTGATCGGATATTGCGTGCCGGTAATGCCGCCTCATCCGCCTCATCCAGTCAGCGCCGTTCTCTGGGGGCCATTTCCTCGGACTTATCAAGTCCGGCAGAGACTAGGCTGTTAGGTATTTACCTTATTGGGGATCTCCCCGTGGGGTTTCGTATCCTCGCCTCGACACTAGCCAGCATTCGTTAATTAATCTCATGTCCGGCCGCGGCTACGGACTTGTTATTTCCGCTCGTCTCTGCTTTATATTATAAGTTGGATTGGTTCAATATAAATATTTTGCTTTTCCGTGTCCAAAATATTAGATCTAGAATCATAAATATAAATCCATCTTGAAAATCCAAAGTCCAATCACGGATACTTGAACTACCATATATCAAAACCTCCCAGCTCCCCATGTGTGACTGGTTTCTCCTCCTCATAGCAATCTCTATGCATGTCTTCGAGAAACTATAGCTCCGGATCCTCTAGATCGGGCTGATTTTATGCTCTATCGTCAAACTTATAACCGAACCTATTGTTCCCGAGTACTCCACCGTCTAAAGACTAGTCATACTTTCCTCCTCGCTCACTCCTGCTGCCAACTATCTCAAAACGAGGTTGAGATGCCTGGATCGCCAGGCGTTCTCCATCAAAGTAGGCCGTCAACACCCTGCCATTGCGTTCACCCACCAACGAGAAAACCATGACCTAGCCAAACCCATAACATTTTGTTAGCAATAAAACACCTTGAAGGGTTTAGAGTGATGAAAACAGAGCTTCGGGCTTAGACTAGGAAGGAAAAAGAAGGAAAGAAGTGAGTTACTTACCGGGATAACGATATGTTTCTTAAGATTTTCCGACTCAAGACGGTCCTTCATTGCCAAGAGAATCGTCATTCCGGAGTAGTAAATTTGGCTCTTACAAGGATATCGGAACGTAGTCGGTGAAAAAAAAGAAAGTAAATAGGGGAAACAGAAATCATAAAAGGAAAGTTCATAGATCACCCGTTGTAGGAAGCTCTTCCGCGTTTGTCCACAGTTCGTCTAGGAAATTTTTGTATTCTTTTAACTTTATCCCCCTCAGGGGAAAGTCTTCAATAATATGTTGGATCGAGTCCAAGCCTGAGAAGGGGAGGAAATCTGGAGGAGGCGATTGGAGTACCTGGGTAACCTTTTGGGTTGTTGCTGGGGAAAAACTGATGTCGTCGTCTAGACTGGGAATGTTGCAGGAAGTTAGTATTGTATAAGCGGTTTCTTATGCCCCTATTTGATCGAGAGTTGTCTTATAAATTTCTCCTATTGCTATTTCCGCAGGTATATTGATGTTTTCTAAGGCTGCTAACAAATTCTTCATCGTTAGACTCTTTGGGTCGTCGTTCAAGCCATTGGGTTCTAAATCGTTAAGTTTCGAGTTGTCGGGTTTTGCGGACAGGCAACCGGAATCTGAATTATCTATAGCCTTTTTTAGTTTTCTTATCAGGTCGTTAACGCGCGGTTGTTTATACTTAGCGATTATCTGTTTGATGGTTTCGGTGAGGATGTTAAATTTTTCCCTAACGATAACGTCCTGGATAATGAAGTTGTGCCAGTTCCTCGTATCTATAACTTTTTCTAGGACTTTCATGCCGCTTATGTCGTAGTATTTTTCGACGTTTTCGTCAAAGTTACCGTTGTAAATAGCCTTGAGTATTCTATTATTTGCTGGTACTTCAAGGTATCCTCTTCTAGGACTTTTTTTTCTTCAGTGACCTTTTGGAGCTTCCGCTCCAGTCTTTCCGTTTTCCTGCGCCATTGAATCCGCAATCGCGTCGTGGCAGATGTGCATTTTTATATGCGGCGTTCTGCTATTGATGTACCAGTTAGGGCGATGTGCCACGTTGTTCGCATGCAACAGGATTACCACGATGGCAATGCGCTTACTCCAACCTCATCACCCAAACTGTATGGCCCGTAACTCTCCATGATCAGAAAAGCCCACGGATCGAGAATCGCCACATTCAACAACAGCTAGGTCAATTGTAGCCTCTGTACCATTTCGGCTTCGTCTTTGGGAACCCAACCTCATGGTCCTCGCGCCGGCCGAGTAGAGAAAAACTATACAGATCGGTAAGTCCATGCAATGAGCCGACAGTCTGCTGTCTAGTAAGGAGAGAGGGCTTGGGAGCGGGTGGGCAGGAGGGCGTTCAACTCACGATTCATCTCTCCATTGCGTCATCGACTTGATCTTAGCATGATCATTACTCCCGAATGGGAAATTCCTCGATACCAGTAATGGCTTGCTTGTTACAATGACGGCATCTTTGAGCTGGAAAGTTGAAGAGACGGGGAAAAGCTGTAAATAAAAAGAAGAATTTCAAGCAGCGAGGTAGTGGGAATGTTAGTGACGGTGACCAAGGAAGTCACTGCCGCTGGTTCAACCATGCTTGAAGTTAATAACACCATGGAAAGTCAATTTCTCTATCCCTTCATGCGTAGCATGATTGAGTGAATGTACCTACCTCTGGCCCTCTGTCTTTGCAGTTTTAAAAGTGACAACAAACTTTCCTAGGCCCTATGGAAGCTAAAAGTCCATGGGGGTTGGTGCTTGGCTGTATGTACCTAGTCTGGAAGAGTTAGTATGGTGGTCCTATTTTGCTCTACGAAGTTGAGCCTGAGCACTCGGAAGGACCTTCTTCTGAGTTGCTGTCTGGATGTTTTATTTGGGAATGAACAGTTGCAAATCTTGCTGTGTTATTGCATTATTCAATTGTAGTCTTCAAACTAGCGATGAGTCAATAAAGATATCTCAACGACAGTCCTAATTGCACACTCCTAGATCAGCTAGCGAGTTCAAGTCCTTCGGGATCACGCCCGCCTCAACTGCATCTATGGCAGAAAGCATGTCAATATTTTTCCTTATACTCTTATCTACTAAAGAGCACCTAGAATGGGAAGAAGAGTGGGGGGTGGTGGGGAGGGGGGAGAAGAGAAGAGTAAAAACATACCCTGATACGACCACCTCAAATCGCCCAACTGACTCTTCCAAGTCCAAAACACCCATCCTTGCTGCCTCTCGTACGCCGTGACCTGGGCCGCGAACCACCGCTTATAAAAGTCCTGGTTATTGTCGGGGTTCCACTCGTCGTCGTGCTCCACGTCGTCCGGCACGCTGAGACTCCACTCGCCCACGATCGTCGGCTTGTTGCTGTCAAGCTGGTCGCTGCACGAGGTGCTGATGTAGCTGTCGTGCGAGACGTCCACGTCCGCCCATTTCAGGTACCGATGGTCGTCGTAGGCGGCGTAGTAGTCGTCCGAAAGGGATTCGTGGGGATCACCGGCACCCCAAAGCTTGTCCATCATTTGGATGTGGAGGTAGTTTGATTTGTCGACGTTGAGGTTTTGTTCGGCTTTGCGGATGCGCTGTTTCGCTGTGAGTTAGCGGGAGGGGATTCTCCGTTGAATAGGCACAGTGCGAGGGAGGAGAGAGAATGGAATAGATAAGCACGTACGTCAAATGCATCCGGGTAGTAACTCGACCTCATAGATGCCGTCTGATCCGCATTCTGGACCGGCTCGTTCACCACCTCCAGCATGCCCACGTTCCGGTAGGCCTCGTCCCCATGGACCTTGTCGGCCATCCACTCGAGGAACTTCAGCGCGCGCTCATACTGATAGTCCTCATAGAAGCCCGGCTCGTTGGCATACTGACCCGTGAAGGCATTCTGGGGCGTCTGGGCACCCGGCGCCCCGTGCAGATCCACAATGATATACAAGCCCGCGTCGCTGGCCCAACCACACACCTTCCTGAAGTATTCCTCGCCACCCTGGGGGAATTGCTCGCTGTCACTGTCCACCAGGTCCTCTTTCAGCCAGTACCCGACCGGCACGCGGATCGTGTTCAGTCCGTACGACACCATCTGCGAGATATCGTCCTCCGTGATCCACGAGGCCCAGTGCTTCGCGAAGGCCGTGTTGGCGGCATCCTGCCCCAGAGAGGAGACGCAGTCGAACTCGGAGTTTTTATCCTTGCAGCCGAGGTCGGACCAAGCGGATTCAGCGATCCAGGGCTCGAAGACAAATTGCGAGCCGACATTCACGCCGCGGATCTTGCCGTTCGAGCTTCTAAAGAGGTTGGTACCGGAGTTGGAGGTGATTTCCTTGTCGGTTTCGGGGAGCCAGGCGGCGGTTAGGGAGAGGGAGGTGAGGAGGGAGAGAGCGGAGAATTTGGCTTTGTCCATGGTGATTGAGATGAGCGAAGTGCTATTAATGGTGGAAGCGTCCGAAAGGAAGAAGGAAATGGCTGTCGAGATTCAATCGCGGTCCAGATTTCGATGACTTTATATGTCTGTGAGGCCCGCAGACAAGATCCGATAAACCATGTAGATCTAGCTCATTATTGTTGACGTTCCAGGATCCAAGGAGGTAACGATGGACATCGCTTGGAAATCAAGCGGTCTAGTCTCAAAAGTTCGAGAGCGATTTGAAAGGATTCATCACCCTGAATTCATTGTCTGCAGACCCCATTTTCCCGATTCGGTGGTCGAGTGCAAACTGCAATGCTACCGGGCTCGAATTCATGGGTTCAGCCCGTTAGAGTGGGTGTTTGGAATGCCGATCATTCCTGGGTCTGAAGGAAATGAGATCGGCAGTGCTGAATGGGGGGCGGTTCGAGAATCCGGCTTGGGTGGGAGTTCGGTAGATCCTGGCAGGAGTACGGAGTACGGAGGGCTGCATGCTGATTGTTGAAGGGGATTTCTATTTTGAGCCAGAGATTGAGATTCTAGTGGCTGATGATGGGGCAATGTCGCAGTCAGTTTGATGAAGGAGGGGCTTGTAAGAGTAGGGCTGAGGGGAGAGAGGGGACTAGCCTTGATGTAGTAAAAGCAGCACACAGAGTGTGACCAGATTGAGATTCTCGCAAATAATAATGATGAATCTTAGAATTGTGCTTTTAATAGCAAGGGGTATATTCGTAAGATATCGGAGATCGGAGATGGAGGTGGTCCCGTGGTCAGCCGTCAGCACCAAAACCGAAGGTATTACCAACCACAAAGCTTAGTTGCAGGAAGTACGGAGTCCATTGTACATAGTACAGAGAAGAACAGGTGACTCTGTATGCACTCTTTGCACTCGCCCCAAGAGGCAACTGGAGTCCTCAGGAACGGATTGGCCGGAAGCGCACTAGTCAGGGGAATTAAGGTTTGCCCGGTGTTTGTTTCACCTTCTCGTGTTTGTGGGTTTTCCATACAGTCGATTGATTTCAAGTCAGAGCAAAGAAACATGCTAATCCTCGCTCTTTCGCAATTTTCTCTACACTTATTAACTACCTATAAATCTCAGTGTTCTTCCTTAAGTCTGTGTTCTTGCCCTTCCGGTATCCATGGCACTCTAGCCGTCACGAACGGTGGATAGAGCCGCGCACTACGAGGTGGACGAGACGCAGGAAGAGACCTCCATTACAAAGAATTATCTCTCCTCGATGCCCTTCTTTGATGACGTCCGGGCGCACAATCTCTTATGTATCCACCACATCGTAGCTATCACATGCCACATTCCGCCCCAAGTAGTCGCCGTCGCTGTGCGGACATGAACAGATTCTGCGGGATCCGCGGATAGAGACCTTCTCTCGGAGAATATCAATCCACCCGGGAGAGAAACTGAGAAACTGACTCGACCAAATTGCGCTTGGTCTCTGAACCCCTCACCGGAACTTGTCTCTCCCGAACCCCAGCAGCCACGGTGAATCTCAACTTCTGAGCCCACGTCCGACCGCCGGCCGAGTCTTTGACTCGATCATCGCACCACCCGGTTCTAGACTTCCTGGTCGAGTCTGTCGTGTCCGTCGTATTGTTGCTTTCAGGCTGTAGTCGACCATCGAGGACAAAGAAAAAAACAAGCGAGATTAGATTCAAGCCGCGAGATAGGGAACCAACCAACGGATGAAGTCGGGTTACTCATCCCTGCGAGTATTGTATGATCGCTTCGGCGCAGGGTCGCTCCTTTCGCGCCACTTGTTGGCTGTCATTGTTGAATCATTGGCCGGGGTCAACAGTCACGGCCGACGAGCTCGAACGATGGAAGAAAACCGTCGTCGCGGTTCCTAGAGACGAGGGGAATATCTCCACCTGGGCCGGGGTCATGGTGCCAGCACTGTGGTAGAGTCGTCCGTATTTCCGAGCTGCAAACTTGATAGGACTGTAGGATTAAGAGACAGGCAGCTGGCGGATCTAAAGTGGAAAGGGGAGATGTCGGCTGTAACCTTCGAATCTCGGATCCGAAGAAACGAAGCCCCCCCCCCACAAACGGACCGTTACGGCGTCCAACCCTGGTCAGTGGTCACATTAGTCCGTAAGTGTGTGGCGGCCAGACGTTGGACCTTCAGGTGAGCCAGCCACAAGTCTGTCCGGATTGATTATCGTCGGGGGGTTCAACGGTTCAACTCCAAGTCAACCCTCGGAGCCGAACGGTCATTTGTTTCACCCTACTTTCTGACTTTGCTGGATTTTTATTTTTTCAAACTTCTGTTCTCTTGTCGTTCGGTTATCCAACCCCTCCCACGCAGATTGCTAGGCATCGCCGAATCCTAACGGTCGTCCGATCCGCGAGACGCCGTTGGTGATCAGACGTTGCAAGGGCCAGGATTGGCTTTTTGGCCCCCCTAGTCGGAAAATCCGATCTTGGTCCGAAGGCCAACGGCGCAGAATCTGACACCGCACAACAAACCAATTCATTTTCACCAAGGATGCATCCCCAGCGGACTGCCCTGATGCCACGTCCTATTCGACCAAGATAGACGCCACATACGATAACGACGAGCAGAATAGGGACCAGACACGAGGGAATGATTGAATGATTGAACACGAAAAGATGATCACAAGGTAAGAACACCAAGCAGGCAGGTGAGGCCAGGGCGGAGGCCCTTGGTTAGGTGTATTCGGGAGTATTAACTATCACGAAAGGCCCCAGAAGTCAAGAACGCCAAAAGGAACCTCAAGAACCTCAGGCAACCCACGGTTCGGCCGAAGCGGGAAATGCTCGGGCCACGTGCTGCCAATCGGCCGTTGCTTGCTTCTTTGGGCTCGTTCTTTTCCTTCCTTTCATTCCTTCCTGTTACAAATACCACGCCGTCTCCCCGCCGCCCGCGCTCGCGACACCATTGCTCCCCTCCTTTCGGCGGATTCCCTCCCCGACTGCTCTTCCTCCGCGTCCTGCGTCGGGGTAGAGTGCGACGGAAGACGAGACGATCGTGGTCTGCAACGTTTCCGTCACAAGGGAGACTGAACGACTTCAGATCCCTTGGTCGCGATGCTGAATTCGCGTCGCGTCGTGCAAGAAGATGACATACACTATTTACAGGGATTTGCACTTCTCCGGTAAATTGCAAGAGACACGCGATGGTAAAGTGCTCGCAAATATGGAGACAGGGGTGGGTTACGAAAGATGAAGCAAGCCCGAAATCATGCATTTCCCATGTTCATGCTCGGGAAGAGCATCACATCCGACACCCGGTTGAGAATGTCGCCAATATGCCCATTCTCCCTTCGTGGCTCATACTGCGGCGGATAGCTGGACGAGATGCTGGGACCGACATTGACCGATGCTGGGGACGTGAGCGCCGTGGCGGGGGAAATGGGGGTGATGTTGGCCGTCTCTGGCGCCGACGCTCCTTTTCGCTGAAAGTGGAACGCCGCGCTCACCTCCTGAAGCGCTCGCAGCGACGAGGCGAGATGTTTGGCCGAGTCGGTCCGGATGTTCTGGCCGGAGTCGCCATCGGCATATACATGGTCCGCGAGGACGCGCTCTAATTTTTGGATCAGATCCCACGTTTGAGTGTGGATCTGGTCATTGTTATTTGCTACCAGAAGAAAGGCGGATGCGATTGATCGCTGCAGGCTGATCCAGGTGCGCGAACAGTGAGAATTGAGCGAGTGGAGCTCGACAAACGCCTCGATCGTGTTGATCAGATTGACTAAGCAGTCGTTACGAATAATCTCGCGACGGTGCTCATCCAGAGGGGCATCCGGATCCAGCGCCACACGACACATAACCGAGATGTAGTATGAGGAGTGTAGGCGCAACTCCGTCCGTTCGATGTTCTGTGCCAGACTATTACATCTTTCCGGGTACCGCAGATGCGGCGCGGCCTCCGTGATAATGCGCTCGATGCGATGCTTATAGTCGCGTATCTCATGGTATCGCAGGTGAGAATGGTGCGAGAACATCAATCCCCGCAACATCTCCAGCACGACCGAAATAATGCGGCAGAGGGTTTCAAAATAGGAGCGGTGACCCGGCATCGACTTCGGATCATACGAAATTTCCGGCTGGCTGACCATGGTGATCGACGGCCGGTCGTAAGCCAGGGAGAAGTGGCTGTTCTGGAAAGCCATTGTCCACCTGAGATCACGAGTTACTATAAAGGAAGAAGGAAATGATGCCGCAGACAATTCAAGGCATCGCTTACCATAACCTTCGCCGTATCGCCTGAGCAGCTGGCGAAAACCCCGAGGTCTGGACGTGAAGACCAAGTACCATGCACATTCGCTCTGTCATTCCTTCACAATCAAATCTTCCGTTAACGACAGCTCTATGACATCGATAACACAAATTATTCCGACCACTTACCGAGTAAGGTATATGATGCACCGGCGTTCATGTTATATGATAGCACGTTGCTGATTATCAACAGGACCTGGATGACTTCGATAGTCGGTTGAGCCACATAGTTCATCATGCGCAAACACTGGTACGAACACGACACTATACCGAGGTCAGCTTAGATGGAACGAGCGGCCAAGGCAGTAATGCACCAACCATAAACCCATGAGGTCAACTCTCGTTGGCTTCCTGACAAATCGGACAATTGACACCCCGACGCGAGGACGGCAAAGAGCAGACTCAGGAAAGGTAAACTCATGCCGAACGGCTTCATTAACCCATTGGCGTCGGGCCGATAGACACCTCCCGCAGCCAGCCTCCCTCGAAGTAATCGATTCATATCGTCCTCCAGCTTGGCGATGTTCGGAAGCACGGGATAAAGAACCGCACCGATATCCCGGTAATACCCTAGAAACCTGCAGTGTGACGCAAAGATCAGCGGACAGTCAAATGCGACGTAGGCAGCGCCGAAGGAAGCAATGGGTGTTTGGGGAAGGTCACCCACTTTCGACATTGCTCGTCATCCGGCAGCACACCGCATACGCCTGCAATATTGAAGGTGTATGGATCCGACGACCACAGATCCACGAAGGGATATGCGGCAGACTCATTCCCGAGCGCCAGCTCTGCCAGGAGATCATCCTTGGGGAGTGCGTCCGCCGTCCCGTCTGATCCTTTCGACTTATTCAATATATCCACTAACGCCGACCGCGAACCAATATGTACCGGCCCCGTTTTCAAGGCGTTGGCCCCATATATTCCCTCGGTTGTCGGTGTGTGTTTTTCCTCCATCGTCGGTGCTTCGGACTGGGGCTCGGTAAGCCGGGCAGAATGGGACTGAAACAAGGAATGGAGACTGGACAAGATCTGTTCCATTGCTTGCATCTTGGAATTTATCTCGTCCCATTCCATCTGCGACACGTTCACGGTGTCGGAGAGCGAGTCATCGGGGGCCTCGGCACCGTAGGGCACATCTCGCGCGGTGGACAGGTAGGTAGCAGAATATTGAGGCGTAGAGGCTGTCGAGGCTGTCGTAGGGAAAGATTCGCTTACCAGCGCCGGCTTGGGGGTCGTTGGGGGCGGGCGACCGTAGGAACAGTTGAAGTTGCGCTTCACGCAATTTCCGCAGGGTACATTGCGATCGCAACGGACTTTGCTGGCTCGACAGGGCAGACAGGTCTTGCACTCACGAGGGCGGCGACGAATCGGATAGGTAGGCATCACGTATCAGGGCCGAGAGGAAAGCGAGTCTCTCGACCGCCCCGCTGGCTGGGGATAGAAGGGGGGGGGGGGGGAGAGGAAGAGAGGGAGCGAGCGAGGATCGAGCTGGGAGACTGCGTGCCACGGCGGAAGGCGTGATTGGCATCGAACAGGTGTGGGTTATTAAGCATGGATCGGAGAGGGCGGGTTGGGGTAAGAGACGCCAGAGATCGTCGTGGTTGTCTTGTTCCAGGGAAATTTGATTTGACTTGGGGTTTTTGCGGTAGGGAGAAGGAAGGGGAAAGGGGAGATCGAGAGGAGGAGCCAAGCGAAGCGAAGGAAGGATCAAAATCAATCAACTTGGTTACAATTTGGTTATGATCGATCCCTTCAAGCGCGACGGAGACCCGGAGCCAGAGGGTGGGGGGGAGGAGAAGGAGGGAAAAGGTCAGCCACGGAATTTGATGTGGATGGGATGGGATGTGGGAAACGAGGGAAAACAGAGGCAGAAGCTGGACGAGTCTGGCACGGCATGAGCGAATAGAAATTGGAAATCGTCAGAGCATCGGTGGACGAGGCGCTCCGTGCCGCCTGGAGAAGGACATCTAGATGAGGTTCCAGCTTGCGAATGGACGAATCAGCCGGCGCTCGTTAGTGAGAAGCAGCCACGGACTATTTTGGTCTCGTTTCGTTTCGCTTCGATTTCTGGCGACGCTTTTCTTGCTTTCGTTACGGCCAAAGTGTCCCGAGATGGCGTGGTGCCGATCAGATCTGGATCGATCTCACTAATGATCCGCTTGATGGACCAAGATTTACCGGGTTCAAGGTTCCGACATCTCGAGTTGTAGAGAGGAGAGGTATACAGGCCAAAATGGCATTGAATGCGATGAAGTCATGGGCTGCAGAGTTCGGACCCTGAGGAGGTTCCGATTAGAAGGAAAGGTTTAAGGAGGAGAGTGAGGATCCCGGCACTTTCTGGACCCCGCGGAATTGCCGGCCTCAGGCTGCCTAGTTTGTCCCATTCCTGGTTACAGTCAATCTATTCGTGACAATCCAATTCTTTGACTTGACCTTCTTCTTTCTTATCTCTCGGCTCTTCAGCAGAAGATCGTCGATCCCTGCGGTTACCTGCAGCCAGGCCAGTCCCATCCCAAACTCTGCCTCCATCGTCACTCCGCATCATTCGCTGGCTCTCGTGGTGTCGGTGGAGTAGCGGATCCAGTTCGACTGTCAACACTCGATACATCTAGTTGCTCTTGGGTTTTCTTTCCCTCTTCAATTGAAATTTTTTTATTTTATTTTTTAGATTCGGTCTACTGAAATGTGGGTGGTGGAAATTATCGCTCATATCCATAACGTCATGATAGCTCTCTCTCTCCTCATCGCACTTGCATCCTCCCCTCGACCGTTGTCAATTGTCAATTGCCCCGCCCCTTCGATCGGCAAGGACATGATCATCGGCATTTGCATTCTTTTTGTTCCTCTGTAAATCACGGTGGGCTCGCGATCTGCGACACCTGGGGAACCACCCACCAATCATGCCAACGCGTCTTGGATCCTGTCTCGGGGATGTTCACGTGGAGACGCAGCGGGTTGGAGGGGTTCGCGGTTTCAAGATCGCCAGCTGCACCTGCACCGGTGGGAGCGGGACCGCCTGGTTGGGCGGACCGAGCTGCGAGGGCCTTTTTCACCGTCTCGATGGCGATGCTGGCCCCGATGCAGGCACGCATCGTGTCCTTGACGTCCTGTTTCCAGTTCTCTTCGATGGCTCGCGCTCCTGCGGGTTGAGCGTCGGTCGGAGTGGTGGCGTTGGCGTTGTCATCGTCCTTGACGAAGGCCCCGTTAGCCAGGGTGGCTTCCCAGGCCTTGCGCGCCTCGGAAATGGCCTTGGTGGCGCGCTCCAGTACCGTGGCATCCGAGTCGCCGTCCAGCGTGGCTTCGCGGTGGTATTCCTCGAACGGGACCAGCTCTGGTAACGTGATGGGGATGAAGGGTTTCATGCGCAGTTCATAGCGCAGCCGATCGCGGGCGTACGACTGTGTCGGGGAGGCGGCGTTTGGGAGAACCTTGTGGCGCGCGAGGAGCACATACAGTGCGTGCAGGGCGATGGCGAATGCGTCGACGGCGACGATCTGCGTCGTTAGGCGCTCGAGCAGGCGTAGCGATCTCTGGAGTACGGCGTGTCGCTCGGCCGCTTGGCGCTTCTTGCCCGCGAGTCCGGTTAGGTTGCGTTTCGCTGTGCCGACGGTGAAGGTGCGGATGCGGTCGATGTGGCCCAGGTGCGTGGAGCAGATGTGCGAGAGGTACCAGTACATTCCCGGTAGTTCTTCGGGCGAGTAGATCGAGAGCTCGAAGCCCAGTTGCAGGATCAGGCGGAATTGGTTCAGTTTCTGGTGGTAGGCCCAGCTGCTGAGAGGATAGGAGTATGTGGTGTCCCCGTTGGAGAGGACCAGAGGGGGCTCGTTGCTTAGAGTGCGAAGCTGTTCGTCAAGGTCTTCGGCCTGGTGTTTGGTGTGGTGGTTAGATAGAGATGGTAGAAACTGAGAGGCGAGGTGACACTAACCTCCATTTGCAGGTTGTCCCAGTCAAGGATGGTATGGCAGACCGTTCGGCGGATACGGCAGCGATTCAGACAGGCGCTTCGGAAAGTATCCACGAAGGGCTACAGATAGATGTGAGTATCTAGTTCCAATCAAGTAGGAGATCGAAACGAATTCCAAGGGAAAAAATACCTGAGCGAAGCGTTTGACAAAAGCGTCCATATGCTGGGCAATCTGGAAGCGGGGGTCGGTCGGCATCTCGGTCTCGTCCGTGCTGGCTTGTAGCAGCGTGCTGGTAGGAAGAACCAGTTCCCCTAGCTCGTCGTAGAGGAACTGCTTCACCGGAATCGCTCCAAGCACGGTTGTTTTGTTCACGATGATTGTTTGCAGAAGAGATCGGATATATACAGATGGCTGGGGTTTTCGGGCCAACAGCGTCCAAATAGTCACCTAAGATAGTCAGAATAATGGACGAAGGGGGATAGCACCCAAACGACATCGTGATCATACCTTGACGTTGTACGGTCCTCGGTAATCAAGAAGTCCTAGTAGGTCAATGGCATCCTGGCACAACCGTTTCAGATGCGCCAGCGCATCGTCAGAGCTAATCTTCACCATCGGACGAGGAGGCACGGTGCTGGCCAGTTTCCGTTGAATTTTCCAACTGAATGCCTCAGGGACCGATTTTCCCAGGGACACGGTTTTGGTGAGCGTGTCCAATTTGGATAAACAGGACATGAAGTGTTCGGCGGACCGAGTTTCTATAACATTGATATCCTGATTCAGGCCCAGAAGAAAGTGGCGCCGGAATGTAAGACGGCATTTAATCGCCTCTTTGATAGTCTCGTCCACCCTTGCCTCTTGCTCGTCGATCCACGAGATCGCACGGTCCAACAGATTGAGAAAGTAATGTACGTCGAATTGCGAGAGCAGGTTGCGATTGTAGAGTTGCGCGACGAAGTCCTCCTCCTAGGTATGATAGAATCAGCAACGGTTCACCCACCTCCGAATCAAAGTGCAAATCCACAACCACCTACCTCGTAGTAGTACTCAGCCGCCACTCGCGAATGCACAAAATCGCAACATTTCACCAGCGCAAGACAGTATGCGCGCAGCACTCCATGCACCAGTCCTGTTTCCGCCTTGTTCCCGCCGGGCTGGTGACGACTAAAATGGGCTTCTTCGAGAGATTTGGGGACGGGCCATAATAGGTTATCGAGGTAGAGGGAGGTAAAGAGGGTCAGCGAGAGCGGGTGGCCCTTGTGCCATGTCATCTATCGTAATGTCATCGATCCCGTTAGCAGAGCTCCCGTGCATAAGGTGTGGGAACATATCCACCAACCTCGTGGAAAAGCAGCTCGTCCATGATCCCAATGACCTCCTCCGGAGCCAGCTCCCGCATGATATCGTAGTCGTCCTCTAGGGCCTGTGCGTTGTTCTCTCCGGGTCCAAGGTATCCGCTGTCCATTCTGGAGTCCATGATCTGCCATTTCGCATGCGTCAGTTTTTCTGAACTGGTAATCTTTAATGGCGTGGGTATTCTCTGTCGCGAAAGGACGATATAAGGTAGAATGAAGGCGTTCCTGATCACGCGCAACGCACCTCCAGCGCACCCACTGCCTCGAACAGCGTAAAGTATTCATCTTTGACGAGTTGGCCGGTTTGCAGAGCTAGAAACAGAGAAACGACGTTAGCGACATCTCCAATGCCCTCCGAATCCGTTATATATAGGGCCGCACTCACTTGACGCAGCAGCAGTGAGCTCTTCGGTGATGTCGCGTGGGACGACGGACTGCGAGGTGACTCGCATCTTAGGGGCCTCGTTGGTGGACAGCATAGAAGAAACTCGTCAATCCGCAGCCAGCTGCCAGATTTGTCGGGGCTGAGCCTGTTGGATGAGTCCGGTAGGAGTAAGCGAGTCCCAAGAATACAAGAATAAGTTAATTAGAGGGATAAAAGAGGTGACAAAACGAGGTTCGGGGAGAGAGGGGAGGAAGAGAGGGCGGGGAGAGCGGCGGACGGGCAAAACTTGCGGCAACGCAGAGCAGTCCCGGGCAGAGTTGCTCTTTGCAGAAGGCTTTAGGTCGGTCAATACAGGGGAGCTACGAAGCCACGAGATCTACTACGGGCAAGTGAAAAGCAAGATATAGAATAAACTGCCCTTTCTTTCTACTTGTGCCTGATTGAATGGGGCCAATATGCTACATGAATCCAGATCTTTCCTGCAATCGTCGACCACTTCGCTGCGAAACATCTCCCCTCCGAAAGTCACTCTTCGCTCCTGCTTCCGAATACATTCTGGTCTTCGCATCGATTGTTGGGGATCGGGTTTCGCTTATTTCGAGTTGGCCTGCTGAGCCATGGCTTCGTCGTTGGCCTGGCCGAGGGCCTTGACTTCGCCCTGCTTGCCGCCCTATTGCCGATGGGAGAACATCCGGTCAGTTACACATCCACGAGACCACTGTATCTAATCAATCCAGGTATGAACGAACCTCCCACTTAGCGAAACGAAGGTCCATCTGTCCACGGCGCTCGGCAGCGGTACGGGGACCGTCCTTCAGGGACCGGCGGACCGCGCGAGAAGCGACGGCCAGGTAGCGGTTGTAGCTGGGGATCAAGTCAGCGGTCGGAGTCGAGGGATCGAAGACGATAAAAAACTAGCAGGAAGCAGAGAGCAGACATACGTAAGACCAGCAGCTTTCCAGTAGGCCATTGTGACGGTGGATGGAGAATGAGAGAGATGCAAATCAAAAGGGCACAAGAAGGGTCTCTGTCGGGATGCGTTGCAAAGCGACTTTCCGGAGGTTCGGGTGAAGGGTCACGTGGTGAACGACACGTGATTTGGTCTTCCCGTGGTCAGGGATCCGTCGAGACGTACGTAGACCGGTGATGGAATCTTAATGTTCAAAGTCCATTCTGCATTATCATTATCATTATTTCCCTCAAATCATAAAGAAATCTCTGCTAATGTCCCATCCAGTATGTAGCAATCCAGGCTCTCCGCATATGAAAATCAAGAACCCACCAAATACAGCATCCCAAGTGGATACTTTTCATCAAACGTGAATTCAATAAGAGCAAAAACAAAAACAAACCAAATGAATAAAATCCAGAGTCTCTGTGAAGATAAAATGGCGATAGATCAATACTTCTCAGAAATCAAGCTCAACCAGCATCCCCAACTCCGATCAAAACCCATAAAATGAACGCCCAATGCGTAAAAAGAAAACTCCAAGCGTGCTGATTTTAAGAGAAACCCAGGCCTCCATCAGCCAGAAAAGCTTCCCAGCTGAAATCGGTATCATCGATGAGGTAATCTTGGCCCATTATGTCGCTGGGGAGCTCGCTGGTATCCTGCAGAGGCATTTCATATGTAATACCGGTCTGAGTTATATATGAACTCTCTGGCATGTTCTCAAAAGGCTGTAAGAGCAAAGAACCCGGATTGACGAAGCCGGCGAGGTCGGGATTGGCCAATGGCACATTGGCATTGAAATCAAGTCCCAACGGGTCACTCCCATTGTTGCCAATCACTTGGAGATTCGCGCCGCCAGATTCGGCTGAGGTAGGGGCAACCTCTTCTTCGTTTTTATCGATCAACTCCTGGTTTTCAGGTACCTGTCGCCTATACTTGAGGACCACGATTTTAGAGATTCCAGCAGGGATAGGACTAGACTCCGCTGAAGAGTCGTCGGAAACGTCGCTGTTTGGGAAATCAAGGAACGTAGCCCCAGGGACTAGCAGCTCCTCCGAGCTTGCGCGTGCTTCCTCCCGGTTGCGTTCCGAATCGGTTTCCTCTTTAATGGGGGTTGACTCGCGTTTCTTGCCCAATTTGGGCTTTCTCTTGGTCCGGCGTCTCTCAGTGTAGTCTTCGTCCGAGGCATCGTCGCATTCAAAAGGCATCGACGACTCGTCGTCGCTTCCCGTCGGGCTTCTGTGAGCCTTGCGCTTAGCCCCGGTGGCAGCCTTGGTCGGTTTGATCGCGACACCGACTCCGCCACGTCGCAGGGGTGGGGGGACGACCTTGCCTGTCGAAACTCGACGAGAGCGCAGTTTTGCTAAATGCTGGACGATCGCTCCTTCGGTGACATTATGGCCCATGGTCTTAGCGACTTCCGACCACGGGATCTTTACCGACTGAGCGTTGCAAACCGCTTGGACGCATAGCAGAAGAAGCTCATTCAGGTTTTCTACTGTCGTCAGCAGAATTTCTAGGCGACGGTGGGCCGGAGTAATGCTCAAGGCAAGCACACAAGGCAGGGTTTGGGTATGTACACACCATCCCAACGGACCAAGACACGCTTCTTTGGCCTATTCAACGATTTCTTCGGGGAACCCATCTTGTCTCGTTTGTGTTTGTCTTGGGATACGACTGACCTGCTCTATCAAAGGAATAGAGCAAGTCAGTCGATGAGATCCAAAAACTCGGAGCCAATCGGAGCTGTACTATGTGTGTTGAAGTCAGCTGTTTTGCTCGGAGTCTTGTTGCAGAGTGAATGTGAGGTGACAGGAGCTGCGGGAAACACAAGCCGTCTGCAGGTACAGCCTATAGATGTTATGTAAGGCGAACAGAAATGGTCTGGTTGCTTACTCTGCCAGGTTCTTGTTCGGAGAAGTAGCAACAAGGGCTTCTTGGACAGAGAAGTAGGGGCAAAAGATCTCTTGACAGGGAGTTAAGGACCCAACCAAAATGACAAAGAGTGGTGGGCAGTCTAGCTCCCAGACTGGAGGGGTCGACTGGCACTAGTAAGGCTCTGGTGTTGTGGGTAGATATAGACTTGTTTGTTGTCGTCTTCGTTTCTGGTTGTATAGATACGGCACTAACAACATAGGGAACTTCACAGTACAACAAAACCAATTGGCCAATATTCTAGTACAGGTATTTCTTTGAGATTACGACTTTGTTACAGACCATAGGAATAGAGCAATGTGTCGTTGGGTATCTTGAATACTTCCTATATTATCCCGGACACCCATAGTAAAGTGCAATATATATAGACCCTTTCTGATAGTTACTTTCTATACCAGCCCAGACAATGCGATAAAATACAGGAGTAAAATACAGAACACTTGTTTACTAGGTAGTATATGCCTCCTCTATCAGGTCACTATATATCGAACAGCCACACCTATCACTCTACATGACAGGTAAGAAGACATTTACAACTATGAAGCCTATAGACTCCGATGGCTGCGCTAAGAGGCAGAATTCCGACGGACCGAGCGATTCCCTCGGGAACGGGGCACGTGACCTTCTAGGAGCTTCTGCCGCCAAGACAATCCGGGGATCGAGAACCGCCTGGAAAATTTTCCAGACTTTGGCTTCATCTCCATCTCTTCTCCATCTCTCTTCCCTCTTCCCTCTCTCTTCTTTCTTCTCTATCCTTTCTTTCTCTGAGAGTTCTGGTCGGGCAGATCTGTCTCAGTGCCTATTTCTTAATCAATTCTTGTTGTTTGTCTTGTTTTCTCCCTTCCTCCCTTGTCACCAAGATGCAGAGAGCTCTCTCCGCCAGGACTTCTGTCCTTTCTGCTGCCTCTAAGCGGGCTTCCTTCTACAAGCCTGCCGGCTTCAACCTGCAGCAGCAGCGTTTTGCTCACAAGGTACGTCTTATGCTTCCGTGAATCTTCGCAATGCATCGCGAAGATGCCGGTCGGCTCTTCCGTGATTACCGAAATCCCGTCCCGTCGGCACCCGATGCTAACACCGTTTTTTTCTTTTTCTCTGTAGGACCTCAAGTTCGGTGTTGAGGCTCGTGCCCAGCTCCTCAAGGGTGTTGACACTTTGGCCAAGGCCGTTACTTCGACTCTGGGTCCCAAGGGTCGTAATGTCCTGATCGAGTCCCCCTACGGCTCCCCCAAGATCACCAAGGGTAGGTCTCATCCATCTCTTCCGACCCCCGATCCATCCCTATTTGTCAATATATTGACTTGAGTAGATGGTGTGACTGTTGCCAAGGCTGTTCAGCTTCAGGACAAGTTTGAGAACCTCGGTGCTCGTCTCCTCCAGGATGTTGCTTCCAAGACCAACGAACTGGCTGGTGACGGTACCACCACCGCTACCGTCCTTGCCCGTGCCATCTTCTCGGAGACCGTCAAGAACGTTGCCGCTGGCTGCAACCCAATGGATCTGCGCCGTGGTATCCAGGCTGCCGTTGAGGCTGCCGTGGAGTACCTCCAGCAGAACAAGCGTGACATCACCACCGGTGAGGAGATTGCCCAGGTCGCTACCATCTCCGCCAACGGCGACACCCACGTCGGCAAGCTCATCTCTACCGCCATGGAGCGCGTTGGAAAGGAGGGTGTCATCACCGTGAAGGAAGGCAAGACCCTCGAGGACGAGCTTGAGGTTACCGAGGGTATGCGCTTCGACCGTGGATACACTTCTCCTTACTTCATCACCGACGCCAAGGCCCAGAAGGTCGAGTTCGAGAAGCCCCTGATCCTGCTCTCCGAGAAGAAGATCTCCGCCGTCCAGGACATCATCCCCGCCCTTGAGGCCTCCACTACTCTCCGCCGCCCCCTTGTTATCATTGCCGAGGACATCGAGGGTGAGGCTCTCGCCGTCTGCATCCTGAACAAGCTCCGTGGCCAGCTCCAGGTCGCCGCCGTCAAGGCCCCTGGATTCGGTGACAACCGCAAGAGCATCCTTGGTGATCTTGCTGTCCTCACCAACGGTACCGTCTTCACTGACGAGCTTGACATCAAGCTCGAGAAGCTCACCCCCGACATGCTCGGTTCCACCGGCTCCATCACCATCACCAAGGAGGACACCATCTTCCTCAACGGTGAGGGTACCAAGGACACCATCGCCCAGCGCTGCGAGCAGATCCGCGGCGTCATGGCCGACCCCACCACCTCCGAGTACGAGAAGGAGAAGCTCCAGGAGCGTCTGGCCAAGCTCTCCGGTGGTGTTGCCGTCATCAAGGTCGGCGGTTCCTCCGAGGTTGAGGTCGGTGAGAAGAAGGACCGTGTTGTCGACGCTCTGAACGCCACCCGTGCCGCCGTTGAGGGTGGTATCCTCCCCGGTGGTGGTACCGCTCTGCTGAAGGCCTCCGCCAACGGCCTCGACGGCGTCAAGACCGCCAACTTCGACCAGCAGCTCGGTGTCAGCATCATCAAGAGCGCCATCACCCGCCCTGCTCGCACCATTGTTGAGAACGCCGGTCTTGAGGGCAGCGTCATCGTCGGTAAGCTTACCGATGAGTTCGCCAAGGACTTCAACCGCGGCTTCGACAGCTCCAAGGGCGAGTACGTCGACATGATCTCCGCTGGTATCGTCGACCCCCTGAAGGTTGTCCGCACCGCTCTGGTTGATGCTAGCGGTGTCGCTTCCCTGCTCGGTACCACCGAGGTCGCCATCGTCGAGGCCCCTGAGGAGAAGGCCCCCGCCCCCGCCGGTGGCATGGGCGGCATGGGTGGTATGGGTGGTATGGGCGGCATGGGCGGCGGTATGTTCTAAACTGCGCCGCGCCGCCTCTCGTCCTGAACCGTCTTTGTTTTGCAAAGGTTTTCCCTTCGAGCGTGTCTTAGCATAGTATGGCCATTTCCTGGTACATTTTTTGTTTCCTTTAATATTTTCCCTTTGTTTTAATGTGTTGCACGTCTTTTTTGATTACCCGAACTTTTACTACCTCCCTTCACCTTATCATTTCTCCTCCCGTTTCCCCTACCTTATGTTTTCATTTGGTTTGTCTTCATATATCATCTCCACTCCATTTATGTTGGGCATAAAAAGTCTCAGGGAGTCCTGTGTATCATATCCTGTACTTTATGTACTCCACTTATCGTTAGATGTTGTGGTCCTACAATTTCCATTTACGTTAACTTTGTTTATGAGATCGTAATCATTTGTAGCTGGTTGATTATCACCTCTTAGTAGAATGTTCTCAGTCTACCCACGACGTCTTGTTAGAAATGTTGAGATCTTCTATAGGTAGTAACGCGCATGCCAAAAATGGAAAATACTTAACACATTGGGTATATATGGTTCTACGTCTACTTCTCTATCTATCATATCAACACATACACATACACAAAACGGCAGAACGAAAGAAAGGAGGCGTCTAATCCTGCAAAGCCTCCTCAATCCACCCCATCTGCACCACGCTCACACCCCGAGCGTAAGTCCGATTCGTGAACACGAACTCATTGTATAGGATCGCCTCGACCTTCTTGCCGAAGAGGACGCTGGACGGGTGGATCGCTACCGTTTGGTTCCCTGCCACGGTGCGATAGCTGCCGTCGGGTACGAGGCGAGCCGTGTTGGTGAAGAATCCTCGCAGGAAGCTCTTGAGGATGAGTTCTGGGGATGGGTCTCGGATAACGGACTCGTTGGTCTCGCGGCCGTTTAGGGCAGGGAGGAGTTTGGCTTGACGGCACTGCGTGGTGAGTTGTTTGCGGACGTCCTGCGTGATTCCCATGTGTCAGTTGGGGGTTTGGTTACTTATTTGTCAAAGGGAGGGGAGAGGGGCAAGGTAGAATAACAAGCCGCACTCACCATGACGGATTGCATGGCTCGGTGCGAGACCATATGTTTCTCCGCCCAGGACTTTCGGTTCGTATTCTCCGCTGCGTAGGCCTGCACGGTAGCGAGCATGGTGAGATGATCACCTTCTCTCCGGTAGAGATCACGTCGGGCTTGCTCGGCCTCTTCTTTCTTCTCTTCCGTCGTCGTGTTGAGGAAGATGGTCTCGACACTCAGGCAGGAGATGATGTCGATCACATCTGAGAGACAGTCGGGGCCGTGATCTGACGCCGCTAGAAGCACGCGACCCAGGGTCGGGGTAAGAGGGAGTTTGGCAATCTGTTGGCCGATTTCGCTGATCCGGCCCGTTCCATCGAGGGCCTGGATACTCAGTAACTGGAGGAGAGCTTTTTCCAGGGATTCGCGGGGAGGTCTCGTCAAGAACGGGAAGCCCATGACATCGTCGACGCCGCGGGCTTTCATGTTAAGGAGGGCTTGGCTGAGATCGCATCGGAGGATCTCGGGGGTGTTGACTTCGTCGAGATCGAGGTAATCCTTTTCGGTGAAGAGTCGATAGCATTGACCCGGGGCTTCACGACCGGCACGACCTTTACGCTGGATGGCGGCAGATTTCGAGATCGGCTTGACCAGCAAAGAGTCTAGTCCAAGGCGACTGCGGAACTGCTTGACCTTGGCTTTTCCACAGTCGACCACAAAGCGTACTCCCGACACCGTGACGGAGGTTTCGGCAATGTTGGTGGCGAGAATGACTTTGCGAGTCCGTGGTGGTGCGGGTAGGAAGACTCGCTGCTGAGCAACCTGAGGAAGGGCAGCAAAGAGTGGGAGGACCTGCACCTTGGGCAGTGCTGGATCCAT